AAGAATGACTATAAATAGCCTAAGTGATGTGGTGGCAAAGTGAAGAGGCAGGCTGTGGGATGCATTCTAGAGTTCTGTGACTGGAGCTGAGTCTTCATGAGCCTGACCCTCTGGCTGTGATGCTTGTGCACTTCTCAGCTCCCCCGCCTTCTCATTAGTTGGGTCAAGATGACAAGAAGGAGGTAGAGAAAGCTAGAAATATATCTGTTGTATAATCCACCTATGCCAATCTTGGGCATACACCTAAAGGACTGTATATCCTACTACAGAGATACCTGCTCATCCATTTTTATCACTGCTCTATTTACAGTAGCCAGGAAGTAGAAACAGCATAGACACCCATGAACTGATGAATGGATAATGAAATTATTCATCCATTAATAAAAATGAAATGCACAGATAAATGAATGGAGCTGTAAATAATCATTAAGAGGGAGGCAGCCTAGACCCAGTAAGACAAATGTCATATAGATTTGAATCTTTGTATTTGTATATTTCTTTTGGAATCCCTGTTGAGTTTAGGAAACCAGTAAGGGGCCACCATGTGAAAGGGCTTTCGAGGTAAGGTAAATAAATATAATGGCATCAAGGTAAAGAGGGAATAATTGAACAGGAAGAGTTGAATGGGAGTGTAGGGTAAAGAAAAGAATAAGTGGGGGTTTCTAATGGCAAAGACTTTTAAAACATAATATGGAAATATACTACTGTAGAAGCACATATAATACAAATATATATTATACTATAATGGAGCAACAACACCCCTTCTAGGTGCCACAAGCTAACAAATGAAATTATGGTGCCATAAATGGATTACATTTCAGGAGTTTTTGGTTCCTGAGGTCCCATAAACACCCAAATCTTACAGATTACTGCTAATGCTCTTGATTCCCCCTGCCCTCCCCTCCCCACAAAGTTTTTATTGCTGAAGCCATAGAACATGGAGAAACCAAACTGTTACTTGCCTGGAAGCTTTGTTCCCACAGGATGTCCTTCACAGTTCTGAGAGGTGCTATGCACATGACTCAAGCAGCAAATTAACCATCCATCCATGAGCCTAACAACCTGAATTTCATTCCTCCTGGGGAAAGAGAACCAATTCCAGAAAGTTGTCTTCGACCTCCTTATGCATGCATGCGAACACACAAAGGAACTCTCTCTCTCTCTCTCTCTCTCTCTCTCTCTCTCACACACACACACACACACACACACATACACACACACGGTAGATGGATGGATGATAGACAAATATATAAATAAATACATAAACACAAAGAAAAGAAACTGTAAAATTGTATTTCCAGAAATATGGTTTAGCAGTTAAGAGCCCTGGCTACTGTTATAGAGGGACCCAGGTTCAATAAGTTATAACCATATATAACTCCAATTACAGGGGATCTGTCACCCTCCTTTGACTTCTGTGGATCCCAGGCATGCATGTAGTACATAGACATATATGTAGACAAGTCATAAGATAAAATAATTCTTAAAAGGAAAATTGAATTATACCTGTGATTTCTAATCAGGTCTAACATTTTCAAAAGGGCATGATGACAAATTGTTTTTCTTCTGTTGTGAGTCCCCTGGTTTTGACCTGGCTCTATTTCCCCTTTTAAAATCTTTATATTTTCTTTCCACCACCATTTTAATTTATAGAGTAGAGATATAAAGCTGCAAATGCTTTTCCAGTTTCTTTTTGTGTCTGTTTTTAACATTAGAGGATTTGTCCTTCAGTCAAGTCTTTATTTATCTCACATGGCAGATTCCTTTCTCCAGCTCAAATTTAAATATTTACTCATATTTTCTTTGTGGATATTTGTTTTTTTTCCATCATATCTTTAAGTAGTATAGGATTAATTTTGTCCAATATATAAAAGTTTTGTTTGCCAACTTAATCTCATTTTCTGGTTATTGCTAGCATATAGAAATACAATATTTTTTATTAGTCTGTTTTAAAATTGTCAGCCTTTCCATTCTTATTCTATTTTTAGATGTTGCTGTTTTCTAGGTAATGATGTATATTTCTTTCTGCTGCTTATATCTCTTGCTGTTCTTTTATGTCTTTGGCTCTAAATTTAAGAACCCACTAGATGACAGTGTAGTGATTTTGATTTGTTTTCTTTATACTGAAATTAACATAGTTTTACTTATTTTTGTTTGTTTCCTGAGAGAATGTCTCACTTGCAACACAAACTGCCCCTTATATACCATGTAGCCCAAGCTGGCCTTGAACTTATGACTCTCCTGACTCCACATCTTCATTGCTATAGTTACAAACATGCACCAGCACACTTAGGTCTCCTAGCACTTTATTTGTTTTTGTTCCATGTACAGAGAAATAGATTTCACTGAGGCAGCCTCATGGGTATGTGCCAGTGTTCTTAGTTCTCAATCAGCACTGCTTGCCCAGTGCCCCTCCCCTCCTCCTCTCCCTCTCCCCCTTCCTCTCACTAATTGTCTCTCTATCTCCTTGCTGGGTATTTCACCACCTCTTGTTCCCTCATCCCCTCCCTTAAGACCTCATTCTCCTTTTTTGCAGTCCCCTTCGCCTGCCTGTGTGTCAATTTGACTCTGGATTCTGTGTATAGAACACGTGTCCATGTTTCTTTATCTGCAGATGGGTGTCTAGGTTATTATGAATATTCAGCATGAAATGTGGATATGGAAGCATCTCTGTGTTGTGTTAACTTGCAATCCTTTGGGCACATGCCCAGGGGTAGTATGGCTGGCTTGCGTGGTTGTTCTATTTTTGTTTTTGGAGGAACCATCACATTAATTTTCATAGTGGCTATAATAAGGTTTATATTCCTACCAGAAATGACTAACGACTTTTTTTCCACATCCTATCCAGCATTTGTTACCATTTTCTTTCTTTCCCCAACCTTTTTTTTTTTTTTTTTTTTCTTTTCTTTTAAGACGGGGTTTCTTGGTGTAGCTTTGGAGCCTGTCCTGGATCACTCTGTAGACCAGGCTGGCCTTGAACTCACAGAGATCCGCCTGCCTCTGCCTCCCGAGTGCTGGGATTAACGGTGTGCACCACCCTGCTACCATTTTATTTCTTAATGATACCCATCTGACTGGGTTGAGATAGACTCTCAAAGCAGTTTGCATTACATTCTTCATGATGGCTAAGGATAACATTTTATTGTTGTTTCTTTTCTTTAAATGTTTATTGGCCATTTGTATTTCTTCCTTTGATAACTGTCTATTCCATTCATAAGCATATTTAATTGACCACATAATTTAATGTTTGGGGTTTTAATTTGTAAACAAGCTGTATACTAATTACCTGTTGGATGTAGAGTTGGCCAAGGTTTTCTCCCATTCAATAGATTCTCTTCACTGTGCAGAAGACATTTTATTTCGTATAATTCCCTTTATCAATTCTCATAGATATTTCCATTACTGGAGTCTTTTCAGGCAGACCTGGTTTATGCCTGCCTTTCTACATTTTCCTCCAACAGTTTCAGGATTAATTGGTACACTGAAGTCTTTGATCCATTTTGAATCTATTTTTACTCAGGATGAGTGGATCTACTTTCACTCCTTTGCATTTACATAGCCAGTTTTCCTAGCCCCATTTGTTTCCCAGATCCTTGTTGGAAAACTGAACCTTAGGACAGAGAAAATGAGAAGTGACTGTGGTGAGCTTACAACTGCCCCTGTGGTCACATGAGGAGGGTGTGCTAAGGAGATCTGTGAACAAGTTAGTACAGAGCCCAAGCCTCACTTGCTTGCCCAAGTCCTCTCTGGAGTTGTGCCAAGCTCCCATCAGACAACTCCCTCAACTCTAATAATCACTGGAAAGTGTGCACCCCCTCTACCACTACAGCTCCCAGTGTAGCATCTTTTCCAATGCTATCTCATGATATCTACCTGGCATGACATTCCTCTGACCTGGAGGGACACTACAAACCCTTTCATGCTGCTTCACTTATATCTAGGCTTCCTGACAAGGCAGGCAGAATGATAAGTGTTATTCCATCAAACTTCATTGGCCCCCAGCTCCTAGCACACCACAAGTTCCTGCTGGATCATCTGGTCTTGCAGCAAATACCCAAAGACAAAGGCTGTGTTTGATGGGAAAAAATTGAGCAAGGTATGATTGTAGTGGTGATTCCAAGATATGCCTTGGTCACTAAAAGAAAGATGGACCCAGGAGAGTGTTGTTTGGGAGTAGAAGCAGATAGCTGTATTCTCTTGTGTAACATCAGTCTCCCTCTGACATCTCTGGGGCAGCCCCTATCCTTGAAGCTGATGCACAATCATCTCTCATCCCTTAACTCATCACTTTTCAGCCTTAGCATCTCTTCATACTCTGGCTTTTCTGCCTAGGAATCTAGGTGCCTGTGAATGTGTCTTGAACATCTGCTTCCTGACCAACAGCCTGTGCCCAAGTCTTACCTCCCTGAGATACCCACCTGCCCCCTGAGACACCTACCTCCTTCTGTCTTCATCTCTGTCTCTTTTCATGTTTTCACTTTGTGTTCACACACTTGATTGTGTCTGATATGCCAAGAGGTGTAAAAGAAAGCAGAGATTATATACTTACTGTGTGTGTGTGTGTGTGTGTGTGTGTGTGTGTGTGTAAACTGAGTTATTCCTTTTCATTTTTATGATGGAGCCCAAAACTTGAAATAATTTATTCTGTAATTTTATATTGAGTGGCTGAATTTGTCTTTACTTGAGGCGTTTTTATTTCATTAATAATTATTAAGAGCATTCATTTTAAAACACTGACTATGTAGTAAATTGGCAGGCTTTTCATTTGGGGAATATTTGCAATTATGATCAAATGGAGAGTCAGAGAGTCAGAGTGGGAGGGGGGAGAAGAAATAAGATTATAATTGAAATGAAAGAAAGGGGTTTTTTCTTACATATGAGAGTGTGAATCCATGACATGTTCTCCTTACACTTTCTTTACCTCAGTAGTTCTGTTCTTCTAACTGTCCTCTTGTGTCCTTTTCACTGTGTACACACATGGTGGCCTCTGAAAACCTCAGGATGAAGTTTTAACTGTGATCCGGAGAGTGGATGATAACTGGGCAGAAGGCATGCTAGGAGACAAGGTTGGCATTTTCCCACTCTTGTACGTGGAGGTAAGCTTACTAACATGCATGTATGCCATTTTTGTTTGATTTACCAAAATGCATGGCCCTGGCCTGGGGGAGCACCTTTCTGGGGTAAAGGGAGATTCCTCCCAAAGTGTGTAATGCCTGCTGCTTCCTGGAGGTTTCTCCTAGACTGTCCTAGTGTGTGAGGATTCCTCTGACCACTTTGAGCAGTTTCTCCCAGACCTGGCTGCTATCTCTGGTCCTCAGAGCAGTCCTTTTCAAATGTCTTCAAGGGGCTGCAGAGATGGCTCAGTGGTCAATAGCACTTGCTGAGCTTCCAAAGGATGTAGGTTCCATTCACAGCACCCCTGTGGCAACACTGTCTATTTGAGACTCCAATTCTAAGAAATTCTTTTGGCCTACACAGACATACCATAGGCAAAACATCCATATAAAAAAGATGTGCTGCTCAGTGCCCAGCATCCACCACTCCATTTATTGCTCTGTGGCCTTAACTCCATGAACCCTCTAGGTTAGGTCATGGAATCTAGAGGACCAGAAATTCACTGCCTTCCACCTGGAAGAACTAACTGGTATTTAAACTTAGTTTGTGGGAAGGCAGCAAGGGTATGGCTTTGTCTGCAGCTCCAGCAGAGGACACAGTTTGGTATGCTGTTTGTCCCCTAATGTTCATGAGGAAATATGAGCAGTGCCTTGACCTTGCACCATAGACATGTCTTAATCCATATTCATATGAGATACACAAGGTCTCCTGGGCAGCCACTTCATCTGGGACCTGATGCATGGTACAGCAACTGCAGGTTTTAGGGCAATTGTCTGGCTAGAATCCTGCCAGCTCACCAAGGAAGTCATGTCTGGTCTCACCTTTGTATCTATGTGGGTACAGACAATAATACTGAGCTCATATTGGGCATAAATGAACAATAGCATTTACCACAAGCTATACTATGTTCTTCGGCTGTAGCTGACTCTTACCTAGTCTTGCCAATCCTAGGTGAGATGAAGGTTGTAGACGTGGCTGGAGCCAGCCTGACCTGTGCCCTACTCTGAGAAGACAGACCCCTGTCACCTGGAATGGCCATAGCTCCTTGTGTACCACACTCTCTTTAATCCTTACACATTAGCTGTCGCAGGCCAGCCTCTGCCCACGCTATGCTTGCCCAAGACTTTTCTTCATGTCCTTCCCAGCTCCTTAGCCTGCTGCCCCAGCCACCCATAGCCCCAGGTCCCAGAACTAACACTTTGTACTTTACCCCTAGCAGAAGTTCTCAACCTGTACATCATAGCCCTTTTTACACAGTTGCCTAAGACCACTGGAACTTAGACATTTACATTGTAATTCACAACAGTAGCAAAATTATAGTTATGCAGTAGCAACAAGATAATTTTATGATTGGGGGTCACCAGACAGTAGGAACTGTATTAAACTATGTGTTAGGGATCACAGCGTTAAGGAAAGTTGAGAACCACTGCTAGTCAATGCTGTGAACCTTTCATCAGCCATCTCCACACTGAGACCTAGGGTACCTTCTTAGTCATCAGATATCAGCTGGGCAATGAACATTTGCTGGGATGTAGAAAGGAGAAAAGCCTGTGTTCCTCACCATTAAGAACAATGATGGGGACCCAGGGGGAGGGACATGATTTAAGTCAACATTCAACCTTCCAGGTCCTTATTCCAGGAAAGAGTAAAGTGGAGTCATTATTTGTATTTCAGCTTCTGCTTGTGTTAACAGAAGTAAAATGATCAGTATGGGGTTATCCCTCCTCCCCCAGTCAAGAGTTCAGGGATCATTTGAATGGGCCATAGGATTGCTTTTGAAGAGCTCTAGCCCTTTCCTGTAGCATGAGCACCCACCTCGAGATGTCCATCCAGGGCTCCAAAATAGAGTTTTCATAGTCAGCCCTCAGCCCAGCTCTCAGCTAGCTAAGGCAAGTTAGGGATATCATAGGCTTCAGACATGGACCCATCTGGACACATCTCCCATTCTTAACCTCTCCATCAGATGTGTGGCCTGTGACCAACCTTGCACTTTAATAAGACTCAGCAATTCGTGTCTTCCAGAGGCTGGAGGCGCAGGCCACCCAGGTGCATCTTTTCAGTGTTGTTGTCTAGGTGGTGAAAGAGCCTGAGGAGGAGACCAGCTCCAGGCAGTGGTAGCATCCTATTCCCAGAATGGATAGGAGCATATGGGAGCAGGTCAGATTACACCAGACCCGAGCCCTTGAATTGGTGTTGCTACATTTTGAGGGTTAAACAAATCCTGTATGATGCATGGGAAACTTCTGATACTATCTATAGATTCTGAAAAAAAAATAATTGTAGCAAAACTAAAATCCTGATTAAGCTAAAATAGATGTAATCAACCCCAAAGTAAATGTTACCAATGGCAACTATCTCCTATGAGATGGTCCCTAGCATCAGCTCTGGAGTGCACTGCCAGGCATTTGTTGAACCTCATTCAGCTGCCTACTGGTTTGGATTCATCCTTTCAGGCAACACAGTAACTCATTACTTCATCGACTATAAAGAGGGGAAGTTATTTTGAACTCCTATCTCTAAACTTAGTGTCACCACTGAGAAAAAAAGCAGAGATCTGCAGCTGTGCTTCAGGGTATGGTCTGTGGTACTGTGGCACTCTGCTGTTTGTCATCTAGTGGTACTTGTCGTTTCTGTCTTTTGTCTCATTGATTTTCAGTCCCCGACTAGACAGGAGAATGTTTACTGGGAGGAAGCTCAAGAAGGGTTGTACATGAATTCAGTTTCTCCAAAGAGATGGCTATAATCATGTACGAGCAGACATATTTACTAAGGAAGTTGGTTCATGCACTTATGGAGGCTGAGGAGTCAGGCAACAAGCCACCTACAAGCTGGAGGCCCCGAGATGCTTGTGGCTCAGGCCAAGTGCAAAGGTCTTAGAGCCAGAGACACTTATGGTGGGTCTCTTGCCCTCAGGCAGAAGGCCTGAGAATTGGGAGAGGGCTGTTACAGTGAAAACTCAACTGTGAGGAATAACTGCCAACTGTTTTTTTTTTTTTTTTAACTAGGAAATACAGTATATTCTTAGAAACTCATTGTGAGAAAGTATATCATCTGAAAACCCTTTATCACCCACTGCTCTCCCCAAGGGCTTCTAACTTCAGCCACAGATAGACACAGATCCACCCTTGAGGGCCAAGGGATGAGTGAAGCGCCCTGCCACAATGCCAAGGTTTGAACTTCCTCAACCCATTTCACCAGGCAGACCCTGTCCACTGATGCCACTCCCAAGCCTTGTACGAAGGCAGACTTTGTAAATTTCTCCAGGAAACTCAAGGCTGGAGAGCCAGATTCTAATTGAGGACCTTCCTAGCCCCTGGCAGGATAGACACTGGTCCTGAACACACGACACATATATTCAGCCTTAGCTAAAGAGAAGTTTGCATGGATGTAGATAGACCAGTATGCATGGTGTCTGTTTGATGATCCTTTCGGTCATTAGAAAAGTGGGTCCCCATTAGCAAGACATGGCATTTAGTGCAGACAGTATGTTCCCATAGTCTCCAAGCCAGTATGGAACTCTGTGGTTGCTTTTCCAGATCTAGAACAAGTTGAAGACCTTGTTCTAGATCTGAAAAAGGGAAAGAAAAGGCTCATGTAAGTTTTCTTCAAGACAAAGCTGAGAGTATGTCATCTGGACTCAGCTGAGCAGATTGCTGTGGGAAATTAGCATGCCTGCCGTGTCCCTGCTGCTGCCAGCCTCACCTACCTCATCCTGGCTCCTGTCCTCCCACTATGGTTATCCAGGGTACTTTCTGAGAATTTTCTCTGTTATAACTGCAAACAAACTCCATCTGTCATTGGATCCCAGAACAGTGCTGGATGACAGATCTGTTCCCATTGGCCTGGTGAGAAGTGGCTGTATCACAGGAGCAAGCTCTGGATGACAGATACAGGGGCATCTCACCAGGCCAGTGGAGAGTATCACAGGCAAGAGCTCTGGCTGCTTTACTTTCTTACTAGGATAGGTCATTCACAGGGACATGTAACGAGTACGGGTTTTTCCTCCCGCCGCCAGTCTTGTGCTGCCGCCACGCCAGCCCCAAATAATACACAGAGACTCTGTATTTGATATTATGCTGTTGGCCAGGTGCTAGTTTCTTATCAGCTAGCTCTGTCTTAATTATTAACCCATTTCTATGTATTTCCACGTGGTCTTACCGAGAGTGGAAGAATGGCGGTTCTGTTTTCTCCAGGCTCTCCATCCTGACTCCTCCTTACTACTTCCTCTTCCTCCTTGTCTCCTAGTCCCTCCTATCTTCCTTTCCTATTGGCCAACAGTGCTTTATTTATTAACCAGTATGAGAAACATATATACAGAATGACATCTCCCATCAGGGACAGGAATGAAAGTAATAACACCCAAGAAGGTGAAAACTGGGTTATTTTTATACTTGCCTTGAGGCCCCTCCACTGGCTACTTGCTGACTGGTGACCTCTATCCTCACTCATCTTCCTACTTGGGGACTCTCAGTCAGAGTTATCCAAAGCCACCTGCCTGCCTCACCACTTTCCATGGCTTGGCTCAGCTCACCTCAAGCTGGTACACTTGCCTGTCCATTCTTCCTTTTGATCTTTCCTATCTGAGGGATCCAGGCTGGTGACTCACAAACCAGTAAGCTTTACAGTAGCCTTCAGAGTTCCAGTCTTAGCCTTAAAAAGCCCAGTGCAGTGAAGGCTTCTGGCTTGCACAGCATACATAGGTGGTGCTTGTCACCTCCCTTCCCTAAGCCCAGGGGTGTTTCCTCAGTCCTCATCCTTCTGAACTTTGCCTATCAATACACACACACACACACACACACACACACACACACACACACACACACACACACACACCTCTTTCCCTCTTGAAGCCATTTTCCCTAGCCATATGACTTTCAAACTATCCCCCATAACTCTTAGACATCTATCCCAGTCTAACTCATCTCCTTACTATACAGAGTTCAAGGTGTTCTTAGAAACCTTCCTTGAATGCCATGCCCTG